GACAGCGTTTGAGGTCAAACAAACCTTTGTCAAGACGTAGCCATGATAGAAGTACAGACGTAGTGCATTAACACTGTATCTTCTGATGTATATCTTAGAACAGTCGTGATTAAATCTTTTAAAGTATCGGAAATGGTTTAAAAATTAAGCTTGGGTATCCAAGACGTTTTCACGACCCTGTCTAACGTTTGTCCAATATACCGCAAAGGAACCACTTCCTGTGTCTTGGGTTATCTGCTCAGTGTAAGATGTAGCAGGCATAGCATATATAAATACACAAGTTGATGGGTTGATTGGGGCACAACAATGAGTGCTGTTGTCTGAGAGTATTTTAGGGGGTAGTCTACTTTGGAGATTTCAATGCATCTAGAAGGTCGGAGGGCTGCAATGTGCGTATTACCCCTCACGTCTGGTGGGGTTATTTTTGTAAACAGAGGGCATGTAAAGGAAAACCTAAGGGAAAATTAATCTTAACTGGAGTCAATTAGCCAACCAATGTTGCATCTTTACTAAATAAGTCAAAGGTTTGGCTTAGTACTGTGTTTAAGTTTAAAGCCGCAGGAATATGTGACGTATTATTATTTTACTTTATCATTGCTACTAGTGGCTCTGCTTAGGACAGTTAATGGACTGGTCTGGTGCAGGTTTTTCTTCTGCCTGAAGAATCTGTTATTAAACAGAAGGATATGGTGCTTCATAAACTGGCTCTTGACTATAGATTATGCTTACATATCTGTACACATTGCAATCCCAGAGATGCAGAATTCCTTTAATTATACATTGTAACACTACCGTACCATTCCTATGCAGGCTGGGAATGTGTCCTTTCAGCCACCTAGATGTGTAGCCTTAGACAAGTACATAAATCTAGCCCGGGCTGAGAGAAAGGTTTAGAGTTAGAGGATCACAGTTAAAGTGAGAGGGTCGTTACAGAGTGAAACAAGGCATTGATTAAGGCAGGCACTGAGAATCATTAGAAATGTGTTGGTTTCAGTAAATAATGCAAAAAAATAGCTATGAACATCAACCTGATGTAACTTTTATGAACAGTCTGATTCTAATGCAGAAAATATCTTATACATATCTACATGTGGCTAGGAGCTCTGGCCAATACTGCTGCTTGCATTGCAATGATTGTGCATGCGCAAACGGCATACTTAGTGCATGCAAGAGTGGTAAACGCAGCGTATACTCAGCAGATCAGGAATTTTCTGCAGCTGCAATGAAACTTGTGGTGAGCAGTCGCAATATACAAGGAGTATAAGTGAATGCAGGTGAAAAAAATTGGTTTAGCCGTTTGCGTATTTGAAGAACGTTTTCATTTAAATGGCGGTAAATGTTTAACTACAGCACCCGTTTCAATCGCACACTGATAACTCTAGTGTGAGCGAGCAGTGCAACAGCTTGGAATTCACATCACTAAATACAACATTGAAAAACACCTAGAATGTTGTGTCGACTGTTTTCGGATATGTGATATCCTGTTTTGTTTCGAATGTCTACAAAAGATTTAGTTCAGTCCAGGCACAGCTGGGGCACACATTGCATTAGCCGAGGAGAAACAGAAACGTTTATTTCCCTCCTTCTCCTCTCACTTTGTTTATTAACACAGTTCAGTTAATTTTATAGGGCAGTGGTGATGGTTGTAGGGCATGTATTTGAATAAACTGTTATGTATCGAGTGATGTTGCTTCCACATGTCACTAACTCGGCGATGTTTGCAGTGTTATAGCCCTGCTCGTGCAGGACTCTGCTCATTCCGAAATGTTTCAGGTTATCATGAGTTTGTTAGAACAGCGTTTTCAGTGGTTTATTAAGTCTTTTCTGGTGCGGAATGTTGTAAGTGTCGGATGGTTCTGTTAGTGTCAGTGAATCTTTTTCAGAACTACTGTGATGGCTTAAGCTTGACTTGTTAACATAAGGTATAGACGAAACCAATAAAGGTTCTATCATTAATGGATCACCCCCCACCATTAATGTACATTTTTCTTTTCTATTGGGAATGGATAATATTTATTGCACTTAGTACTTACTCTTGGATGCTAATGCCATGAACCTAATAATCAGAGATGTATCTTCCAGCTTAAAATTATTACTGAGTCAGCTACGGTTGGTCTCAAACTTGTGGCCCTTAAGTATGGGCATATATTTCAGCTGGTCCCTTGGCAGAGCAACATTTACATTCTTTACCTGATGTAAATGATTGAGATATAGATAGAGAGAAAGAGAGAGAGTTTTGTTTTTTTAAGTTAGTTTTTATTTATTATTTGTATTTTAACACAATTTGACTTACGGTATCTATTTATTTAAAAAATAAAACACATTTATTTTCTTCCACAGAAAGGAGTTACGGGCTACTTATGCAAAGCTAAGATCTCATTATTGAGCTTTCTCTGTATATAGAAAAAAAGAGTCCAGGGATCTTCCTCAACATAACAACTGTAACTTGAGTTCAGTAGACTCACTCGAGTGCAGTACAAAGCAGGTATAGTTAAGAAGATATGCCTAACGTCTCTTCACTGGCTTGTTTTGATAAGTCAAATAGACCACACCTTGAATAGCTACTTAAACAGGACACTTGGATCTTGAGTTTGACAAGAAACTTGAAACAAGAGCTTGGAGAGTGCACAGGTGCTCAAATCCTTTTACACATGTTTCGAGTCATGTAAAAACAAACAAACCCAGCTTAATTCAGCGTTCAAGGTCTGATATTTCTAGGCTGCAATCCACCCCTTCTCTGCTTCTGAACTTGGAAGGGCCCAGGTCTTGCCCTTGTGTGACCAAGGGGAAACAGGTGCTCCGAGATGAACACCTGGATTCCACACAAAAATAGACCACGGTGACATAGAAAACACGGTGTAAATGATGTCTTCATTCAAGAGGCAGCTAGGGTTTTAACCCCATCTGCACCGAGGACTCCGCAGGCTGAAGGCGTTGAAGGGTTAATCTGGTACACACACACACACTGTGAAGTCACTGCGGTGCTCATGCAGCCCAGGTGTATTTGTGTTACAGGTTTGTGCATGTTGGTCTGATTTTCCCATAACCTGGTATGTTTGCATATATATTATGGTACTTATGGGCCAGTGTCACACACTACACCCTGCACAAAAAATGTCTTCAAGAGTTATTGCCATAGAACAATGACTGCTAGTACTCATTCATGAAGTGTTTCCGTACACATTTATCATGGCTTGTTTGAGCATCATTCCCTCTCTTTATAGTGGAGATACAAGCGAAAGGTGCTAATTTCTACACATGTAACACCGTCTACCAGGTAGAACCATTGTTTATTTAACAAGAGTCATAATGTAAAAGAAAACACACGCAAAAAAAACAAAAAACAACCCACACAACAGAGTAAAGTTTACAATAGAAATACATTATAGGTTTTGGTGCATTTTTTAATTAAGCCCAAATATAAATTCTATGAGCGAAAAACGAGAAATATATGTCATAGGTCCTGGTGTTGTTTTAAGCCAATATATAATCCTTCCTGAGAGGACGGCTCTGCAGACAACTCATCACAAGTAGAGTTCATGCAAATTCCTAGTGCACAGCTGTGCATATAATGTACCAAACCTAAAGAATGAAGCAAATTGCAATAGCATGGATTAGCTCACAAGTAAATATCCACAGGGGCGCTTTGCATACTTAAGATCGATATCAGCAAAGCAAAGCATTTTGATATGGTAAATTAATTCTCGAATTGTGTGAAATGCTTACTGGTGAATATTCTGCACACAACTGTTCGCTCTCGTTTATATTGTATATCTTCAAGGGGTGTAAATCTAAGTTGAGCTAAAAATTGGTACTCCAACTGGCGAGTAGAATCCGGCAGGAGAATTAGAATCAAACAATTGATAAAATCATAAATGTAGTTCATTTTCCATTGTCTGAGAAGGAAAAAAGAATAGTTTGCCATCAACTTCCAATATCCCAAGGTTTAATCACTTTGAATCAAGTTGGGGCGCAATCTGTCAAGTGTCACATTCACAAAGATAGTTTATATATCATATGAGTTAAAAGAGACTTCGTAATCTGCAACCAAGAGAGATGCCATAATTTACCATCAAAAATATTATTTTCGAAATCCAGGTGGTGAGAAAAATACAAAAATATTCAGCGGAAGTTAAAATCCTCCCTTATCCAAATGGACTTTTTGAAGTCCACGAGTTGACAAACACAGGTTACCACACAGTTGTCGGACTTCCACCCACTGGGCGGGGAGAACCCCTAAAGAAACATTATCTCCTAAAGGCAAGGCAACCAATGTAACAACATTTACTGAAAAAATATTTTTTAAAAATCCACCGAAAATGGCAAGGCAAATTAAAAACCACACAGAATCTGAAGCACCCTAATGCACTTTGTACCTAAAAGGTAATGATTGATAACTAAAATGAGACACTTAGTGAGTAAGTACATTTAAGGCATGAAACGCGTTAGGCAGCTCCATATTCTGTTTCTGTGCTCCCTTAGCTTGCCGTGCCATTTTTGGCGGGATTTTATTTTGGGGGGGGAGGGGGGATTGTTTCAGTAGACACTGTGACTTCAGATGCCTTGCCTTTAGAGATATTTTTTTCTTTCAGGGTTCTCTCAACCCTTTGTGTAAGTTCCACAATTCTGTAGTAACCTATAATTTGCCATCAACTGCCTGTGTTATAGTAGTTCCTGCTTTGTTTTTTGTTTTTTTGTTTTTTAGAATTTTTTATTTTGAATATGTATCTGAAAACAATACGCAAGAAAAAAAACATTAAATGGAAATAAAAAAAAAAGAACAGGGGATCACTCCCGACAAGAGGTATTGTTCACATGAGAAAAGGCCATCAAAGTTAACGACTTAATACATAAACAGTCACACAGAATCCAAAAACAAAATATCTTAGCATGCAAGTACTAGAAAAAGCAGGCCAACATGCATGAAACCATCAATAGTGAAAATGGAGCGGACAGATCACAGGGAGGGAAGGGACAAGGAAATCTGGGAGAGTACCCACAGGCCTGCAGCCGTAACACGTACACAGGAGGAGGTCTGAGGCAATGCCACATTAAAGAAGGATGGAAAAAAGGTAGTGTTGGACTTTGGTGATGCCGGTTACCAGCCCAGTACGTTAAGGTGCTTATGGTAAGAGTAGGAAAGAGAGGCAAATGTGGAGACGGGTGAGAGGCCGATAAGGATACAAACAATGTACTTTAATAAAAGACAAAAGGAAGAAAAAGTAGAAGGAAAAAGAGTAAATAGAGGAATTAAGAAGAAAGCAGCCCCTGTTTTATTTATATGTGCTTTAAACGGAAACACCCTAAAATACCCACACACACGGGCAACTCACCCGAAAGCACCAAGGACGCAACCCCGACACATGCCGTTCTTCCAAGCGGCCAAGGCCCAAGGAAAAAACGGAAAACGCCTGGAGAGAGGCCGGCACATCACGCTGCAACAGCCTCCGAGATGGGACGTAGGTCCCAAAAATCGCCCCCACACATACCATTATGGGCGCAGGGAATTGAGACTATGCTCCAGAGGCAACCACCACCTAAAATGGCACCGCCTGGGAACAACAGGGCCGCGGAAACACTGGAGAGCCCTCTACCGACCGAGACACACTCACAGCTCATCCAACCACACACAGGGCTTACCACACCGGCTGCAGGGGATGGGTCAGCTCCGGTCACTTAGCGGGACTTCCAAAACCTGGTGGGAGAAATTAAAAACCTACTGGCGGCTAATGTGGCAGCCATAAAGGCAGACATGCAGAGGGTACATGACAGAGTGAGAACAGCAGAGGGGAATATCGCTGACCTTAAACAAGGCATGAACACTGTACAAGAGGCCATACAACACCTACAAACCATGCAACAATCACTCTCCCTGCACCAAGCCACACTGGACGACAGGTCCAGGAGAAACCACCTTAAGATAAGGGGCATACTGGACACAGTAACCCCAGAGGAACTCACCCAATACGTAAGGCGACTAGTGGCCACCATCCTGCCGGCTGCACAAGCCAAAAAAGTCACCCTGGATAGGACCTACCGCCTGCCTAAGTCCAGCAGGGCCCCGGCGATGGCGGTACAGGACGCCATAGTGCGATGCTCACATGCCCACGACAAAATCTCCATCTGGTCAGCACTGCAGGGCAAGACGCCACTCATCTTCGAAGGCGCTAGCCTCACCTTCTATCAGGACCTCACGATGTCCACCCTGCAGTGGCAGAGATCGCTACAGCTGGCATCAAATATCGCTGGATGTCCCTGAGGCTACTAGTGGTGAACCACAAAGGGACAGTTCACAAACTCTCATCGCCGACAGACACCCCGACCCTCCTTATGGCACTGGGCCTACAGTCCCATGCGATGACCGATGACAGACGGGCGAACACTCACAGCTGGAACCCCTCCCAAGTTGTCCCGTTTGTTCCTGCCGCCAGCTCAGCCACTCATCCAGGGACCTGAACTCCAAGGGGACTGCATACCTGCTTGCAAAGTGTTATGCCATAGTCTGTTTTAAGTTGTTCACAGTTATCAATCGTATATCAACGCACCACACACACGAGAGTCCCCCAAGGAGGACCTCCTACCTCTCGACCCCAACACCTAGAAACAGGGCGCTACCTGGCAGGTTCTCGGCTCCACACTGGCCAGCTCTCTCCCCCCCCCGCTACCACCTCGGTAAGGGGTACCACCTATGGAGGGCCAATTCACGCACTCTCAACAAGCACACTACACGCTACAACATGATAGCTCCACACTGAACAGCCCGTCCCAACTCATCCCTAACACCAGTCCCGATTAATTACTACGCAACTCACTATCTCAAACTACACGCTCGCATCTACTGCTACAACCCATCTCAGATACACCACAACACACACGTTCAAACATTTAAAAATGTGCAAAACTATTATCGTTATGACAGTTTTAACCATACAAGTTGTTTTATGTTGGTCAAATCCCGCTGTAGCTGTTGGGGCACAGCGGAATAATATGTTGGATGTTACCTATAATGTGCACAACAAAAATAAAGAATTAAAATTAAAAAAAAACTGGCAAATCAGAGGCCATGGTGGATGCAAAATAAACAAAGTGGACACAATGGCTGACACGGGTACTGTTACTTATGGGCCATTCTCATTTGCCTCTCTTAAAAAATAGCATCCGCTAGACGAGAGGATAGATCAGAAAATAAAATCAATGATTTTGAACTGCCAAACTTTGTTACCGGATTACCTGGTTAAGGAAGCCTGCTTTGAAATGATTTGAGAGTTAGGTTGTTTCAACTAAGGAAAGGGAAAGGTCCTTTGGACTACATGTTTAAATAATCAGTCCCGAGATTCACACTTTTTAGTGATAAATAAAGAAATGCATATATGTCTCTATGACCTATGTTACCAACACGATTTTTTTCAATTATTGTTTAGTTTACCTTTTGTACCAAACTCTCGTCTTCACAATTTATGTGAAGACTTCCTTCCTTTCTACATAATATTATTAGCTGAAAGGCACAATATCCATGGGAAAAAACCAAAACATTTATCTTTTAGAGCAAAAAGGAGTCATTTTCTGCACAATATGTTCCTCTAAACAAGGACAGCTATGCATTCCTCCCTTCTCCAGACAATTGAACCTATTGAAAACGTCTTCTCTCTAACAAGAGTAAAGTGGTGACAATATAAAATTGTGTCAATAACGCTCTGTCTCTTATCTTGTGCAATTAAACTTTTTCTTAACGTACTCCGAGTGCAAGAGAAGGGTAGGAGTAAATCTTTCAATTTAAAAGTTTCATTGTGTTTTATCACTCTAAAATATTTATAACGAATGTACTCTATAAGCAGATAGTTGCTTCTGGAGCTATTCCATGCATTTAAAGGGAAACTACCATCATTGTTTTATTATTGGGAAAATAAATGCATGTGCTTATCGTTCCTCTATGTGATCATCCATCTTTAAGTCGTCTGTGATCTGGATCACCACTTATGTTGGTCAATCAAGTTCCTTTCTGTATCATATTAAAGAAGAAATTTACAGCAATGTGTCTAAAAAAAATCTTCAAATCATAACGTTTCTGTTTGACACAATGTGTGCTGTATGTACTGTATGTGCTGTGGGTGCATTGTGATATATTTTATGTAAGTCTTGTGTGGGTGTCCTGTGTAACGTGGGTGTTATACCTCTTGTGATTACACTATTAGTATTTAAAGGGACACTATAGGCACCCAGACTACTTAATCTCATTGAAGTGGTCGAGGTGCACTGTCCCTGTTTTTGAGAAACTGCAATGTTTACATTAAAAGGTTAAGACTGTTTCTAATGGCTGTCTATCAGACAGCCATTAGAGGAGCTTCCTGGAGTTTCACAGAGTTTGGCTCCATTAATCGACGCTGGGCATCCTCACGCTTTGCATTAGGACGTCCATCCAGTTGGGAAACTCCATAGGAAAGTACTGAGTGAGCAATTTTCTATGGAGAAGGCTCTGGATGCGCATGTGCATTAAGTCCCTCCACCGGTTGACGTTAACAGAGGAAGAGAGAATTGGGTAAATGTTAAAAAAAATGTTGCCCCTTTATTTGCTACTGGGGGAGCTGCAAGGGAGAGGGTGTTAAGTAAACAGTTTTGTATTCCTTAAACTATAGTTTTCCTTCCACGGCTGATTTTTTTATGAGTGATAGAGGTAAATATTTAAAGCGTTATTCCAACTCTTTTTAATAAAATGTGTTATGTAATTTGCATTAGTTATTAGGTCCCCCTCCCCTTAAAACCCTGTGTGACGGTAGTCACCATCTCTGGGGATGGAAGACATACACTATATGTGGGTCCCCAGATTCCTTTTGTGTTTTGGTCAACCTGTGCCCATTATTGGTGCAGGGTATGTTGAATGTATTGCTTGTCTGGGCCTCTCCCCTTTTCCCTCCCCCTTTTTCCGGTCCTATTGTTTCCCCAGCAGGGTTTTGTCCCAGGGACACTGCCAGACCAGTTTAAACTATCTGCTTTGTCCCTCCTCAATCTCTCATCAGCCCTTGCTATTGTCTGACCCCAACCTTCCTTGTACTATAGTACTCCATGCAACCTATTGTATGTAAATGAGGCTGTTGGTTGCTTAAATGTGTGCTATGCCTAGTAAAGTCAGTTGCTGTTTTAATCTTCACCAAGTGTCGTCTGGTGTTTATTCCAGGGTGTAAAAGGCCCTCAATGATTCCAGTCAAGCCTCAGCAACTGGGTCTGAAGTGCTGCAGGGTCCCTGATAGGTACGAGGAAGCAGACTTGGCGGACGTACTCGGTCGGAGTACTGGAGCTCCGTCACACCCTGTAAAAGGAAGAATACACTAGAAGCTCCCCGCGCTGGTTTCCACACCTTGTCCAATGTCACAGCCTCCCTCTCTGTGGTAAAATTTAATTTCATTGGGCCGTTCTCCCGGCTCAGAGCACATGCATATGCCATGAGCTGGGATGTGGAGAGAAGTAGAGAGTTGGGGGTGGAACCAAAGTAAAAAAGGGGAGCACTATAGGGAGGGCTTAATTAAAGGAAGAAAGGAAGATAAAGGCTTCCCCTTCATGAGAAGCTGACCATATGTGTCACCAGTATTCTATCTTTTATTGTACAGAATTAAAATTAGGCAGTCTGAAACAGTGTTCTGGGTAGTCTAAGTCACGTGTGCTGGTGGTGTAATTAGTTCAAGCACAACGGCTACATATACAGATTCCTACGGCCATGACCACTTACAGAAGCAGAAGTAGTCATGGTTGTTAAAGTAACCCTTTAAGTTTGGAACTATGGTATTACAATCCTTGAGACATATGGTATTACAATCCTTGAGACATACAAAGGCATCAAGTGGATCTTTCACATTTTTATGGCATCTTTATGCTGCACATTTGTCTTTGACCATTTTAATTATTGTATTTCCGGTTAAAAGTCAACCCTTCAAATCCCTTACATGCAGTAAGGTATAGCTTCCTATGAACCATTTATTCTGAGACATCTGAATAGTTTTTTTGTTGTGAACTAAATAGTTTTGTTGTGAACTGAAAGAATAAAATGTTCATAAAAACAGCGTATGTTCTTTTATATGAGACACACAATGTGGGAAATTGTGGGAGATCTTGTAATAAAAAATAATCAGCAGCGGTATTTTACAAATACAGTAATGTGTTTTGTCTAATACTATTGTTTTTTTTAGGGTAAAGAGAATGGTTCATATTTGTTTTTTCCTGATGGTTTTAAATTCTAACACTTCTCAGGAAAAAATATCTATTGTAGTACAATCTCAGCATACATTACAGCCAATGAAATCTGGAATAAAATAAATAAATAATAATCTATTAGTGGCTAGAATTAATTGAAGGGCTGGTGCTAACCTATAGGCTGGTTAGAGCAGTGGTAATGTCATTGTCCTTAGAACTTGGAAACCTAGGTTCGAATCCCAGTCATACCCCCTCACCAGGTGTCTTGTCAAGACACCTAACAATATATGTCTGCCTACCTCAAATCCTCATAGGTACCTGAGCGAGCAGTGCCTTCTTTACCTCTTTAAAGCTCAGTGTTCTTCATTTGTACCTTCAGAACCCTCCAACAGTGTTTGGTACTTCCCATGTTATCATGAAATTATGGTCGTCTGATAGTAACCCAGCAGATGGTATCTAATATATGAGATGGACCTCACATAGTAGGCCATGCTTTCCTGATATAAAGCCTACAGGTTGGGCTGTAACCCTGAATATTTCCACGTTATTCACGTCCTACAGGAAGGAAATCATTTAACTAATGAAGGGATCTCTCTTTCATTAAGGAATGTATTTCCTGCCCGTAATATGTGGGGGCTGCATTAGGCAGTGTTTCTTAATTCGGATCATGTGTTAAGGTACAGCAATACCTGTTTCAGAGAAAGTGGAAGAAATAGAGGACGTGGCATTTATAAAAAGAATAAAACACTATTATACATTTATATTATATTATAATTATTATTATATACCATCAAAAGATCAGCCACAGTATTTAAACGATTGTTTCCCTATTCAAACTTAGTGCTTAGTGTTTGTAGCTGGAGCTAAAATTAAACCATGCCAACCAGAGATGGTGATATGTTGCATCCTGTTAGGTATCACATATTACATTTTCTTGAAGAGAGAACAGTAACAGCTGACATAATGGTGATGATATATTTATACAGCCCTTTTTTTTTTTTTTTCTCAAGGGCACTCAAACCATCCAGCACGTGCCTGGAATCAGCTGAATAAGCAGTTGGCAAACATTTATTATAATTGGCCATCTCAATGGTACTTATATGATTAACTGTTGAAGAATGAATTGCAGATTCAGCACTTCCACCGAGCTATTACTGCCAGCAATCCTGACATTTAAAAGGAATTCGAGTTGGTGTTTTAATAAACTGAACTATCTAATATAGCATAAAATATGAGATGCTCATTCTGTAAGAACAAAAACAGCAGCTACTCCAGACACTAGACCCCATGTGCTTTTTAAAGTCTTATTGATTTTCATGGTATATAAGGCATTACAAAGACTATTATCAACCCTGCATATGGCTGAATAACTAATAGCAGATTTTTATGAATTTAGGCATTTGTTGATTAAACAGTGAACTAAAACATGATGTAAGGTGCCATGACTTGATGCCAGCTGATCCTCTAAGCCAGGTTTCTCCAAACTCCGGCCCTCCAGATGTTGCTGAACTACAACTCCCATGATTTTATGAATGCAATAGATAGGCTGAGAATCATGGGAGTTGTAGTTCAGCAACATCTGGAAGGCCAGAGTTTGGGGAAGCCTGCTCTAAGCCAATCAGTAGCTCCCCACTTGTGAAAAAAAAGAAACATGCCTTTTTCTATCCATGGGGAGCTACTAACTGGCTTAAAGCGTTAGCTCCTGTAACTGAGATTCACAAACAGGGTGCCGTTTAGGTGACCTGGAGATCAGCACTGGAGGCAACTTCAGGTAAGAGTGCTCCCACGGGCCTCCTGGCACCATAGCAACTTCATTTAGATGAAATTGTTCTGGTGACCGGAGAGTCCCTTTAATAATCCTTTGTAGCAAAGTTCCAAAAAGAACAGAATATTCTGTTGATTTATGCCGGTCGTACAATCTGTGACACTGTAACCAAGAGAATTCATAATAGAACAGCGAATTCACAAAACTGCAAATTAATATGAATTAAAACCAATGAGCCAACTTTTGGTTAAAATAAAAAAAGCCATGACTAGAGAATTTTTCCAAGTCAGCCATGTTGCCCTAACATTTCCAGATCATTACAGTTCAACTTTTAGTGATTAAACCCCTAAGTTCACCAGTTGCAAAAATAAATCGTTATTCACTAATGTGTGAATTGTCAGGAATTCAAAGTGGATCTCAAGTGAATTTAACCCCTTCGCGACCTCTGACGTACTGGGTACGTCCGACAAAAAACGTCCATTAACAACGTCGCATGTACCCAGTATGTCCGCGCCAAATCGGACCCTGTACTTACCTGGACTGGCCATCCGCGGTGATCCCGCTCGGGGGGACTGTCTGAGACCTCAGCAGTCCCCCTGCAGCAGCTCCGGCCACCATGATCACATGGCCGCAACAGGAGTCTACGTAGCTCCCAGCAGGGGGACTGTCTGAGCTGCCAGGCAGTCCCCACGACACTTAAAAAGTATAATTTTATAAAATAATCAAATTAATATATTATATATATATTATATATGTATAGTATATTATAAAATAATTAAAGCATTTTATAATATATTATACATATATAATGCATATATATAATTTCATTATAAGTGTACTTTGAGATATATACACATATATCTCAAAATACACTTATAATCTAATCATATATATGCCTTATATATGTATAATATATAATAAAATGCTTTAATTATTTTATAATATATTATACATAAATAGGAAATAAAAGTGTGTGTGTGTGTGTGTGTATACACACACACATACACACATATACTGGACTGGACACTGGACATTGGCTAAGCAAACCCATACAGGTCCTCTAATGCAAAGTTTACTTTAAGTATGCTATATGATTGTTTTGCTGCTCTAATATATGCAATATCTTTAATGACTTGGCGATAATCTTTATATCAATGTCAAAAATAAAGAATTAAAATTTTAAAAAATGCAAAAAACAAATATTAACGCTAACTTTGGCAAGCGTTTGTGGCTAAGTGGCTACTACAGAAAACTGGACATACCTCATTTTGAATAGCCTGGGTTGTCTACTTTTTCAAATGGTATGTCATGGTGGGGTTAATTTTCATTTCTGGGCTGCCATACTGTCTCAAAGGCAACATAGCCAATCTGGCAAATAGCAATTTACAAAAACAGAAATTGCCAAATCTTATGTTTGACCCTGTAACTTTCCAAATTACCATAAAACCTGTACTTGAGGGGTACTGCTGTACTCATGAGACATTACTCTACACAAATATGAGTGTTTTAGAGCAGTAAAATGTATTATACTGATAATATCATCTGTAAAATGGCAGTTTATGTGTCAAAAATGAAAAAAATATTAACGTTAATTTTGGCAAGGTTTTAATGGCTACTAAAAAAGACTGGATATACCTCATTTTAAATACCGTGGGTTGTCTACTTTTACAAATGGTATGCCATGATGGGGTTAATTTTGACTCCTGGACTGCCATACAGTGTCAAAGGCAACATAGGCCCAGCAAACCAATCTGGCAAATTTCAATGTGCAAACATGGAAGGGGGCAAGCTCTATTTTTGACCCCAGTATGTTTGCAAAAACCCATAAAACCTGTACATTGGGGGTACTGTTGTACTGAGAAGATATTGCTGAACACATATTGGGGTGTGTTCTTTGTAAATAACACATAATAGGAACTGAGAATCCATGCCTAAACTAGAATGTGAGAGAAAAAAAAACACACAAAAATGACAACCCATAAGTTTCACCAAGACTGGTGGTAGAATTAGTGCATTGAAAATGTTAAAATACCACCATTTGAAATACCCTAGGGTGTCTACTTTTCAAAAATATATAGTTTGATGGGGGCAAATTATATTGGCTGGCTTCAAAAATGTCCTAACTAGGACATGGATGCATGATAACCAGCTGTGAAAATTCCAAGTTGGAAAACTGGAATGCGCACCCTCCAAATAAGGTCTTTTAGCCCCCAGAGAACCCGACACACCTGTACATGGATGGTATCACTGTACTCGGGAGATGTTGCTGAACACATATTGGGGTGTTCTTTGGCAATAACCCTTAAAGTTCTCCATACATGTATTCTTAAATTGCTATGTGTGTCAAAAAAATATAATTTTTTGTTTAAATTTGGCATAGATTGGCATAGATTGGTGGTAAAATGGTTGCATGAAAAGAGTCAAAATACCCCAAGCTTAATACCTTAGGTTGTCTTTTAAAAAATATATACATGTGAAGGGTTATTCAGGGATTACTCAGGACAAAATTTAGAAACTATGTAGCACAGGTGTTTTTTGGCGGTTGTAGATGCCTAACAGATTTTGGGGTCAAAATTAGAAAAAGTGTGTTTTTTAAAAAATTTGAATCAAATTTTATAAATTTTTTATAGTAAATGATATAATATGATGAAAATAATGGTATCTTTAGAAAGACCATTTAATGACGAGAAATGAGTAAGAGGAAAATTACAGCTAAACACAAACACTGCCGAAATGTAAAACAGCCCTGGTCCTTAACAGTAAGAATATTGAATGGTCTGGTCACTAAGAGGTTAAAGTTTTTGGCAAAAATAGCGAACTTTTCCCAATTTCCCAGTTATTGTGGCCTAAAATAGTGAAATTCACTTTGATTTCCCATTTTGCTTACATTTCACACGTTAGTGAATAATTCTGACATTCTTTGTTTGACATGTTGTTCTGTACTTACAGCTATTACATTATCTAGTGTTTTTTTAATGCGACCGCACAGAATTATCACTAGCAAATGGACAATTGATGGCTGCTCTGGTATAGATAGTAGGAATGTGCTAACAGACAGATAAGTCTGATAATAAATGGATTATTGCCTTCAGCTGCCAAATCTCCAATGAGAGAGTCATTTACTCTGTTATTAATCTGTTGAGTTGGTCTACATTAATTTTGAACACCCACCATTCAGATTGAGAGATACAATGTTTACCTTTTTGGCTGTTTAAGTGATGGTCTCCCTATTTCCACCCTCCAAACACATGATGTTTGTGACTGACTGGCGCTGTCTTGAGGATAGTTCCTGTCTGTGTTTAAGAAGAGATTCACAGCTTTATGTGAGGCCAGGAGTAAATGCAGTAGGGGTCACGTCCAGTCTTTACTCCTGTAAACAGTAGTATTAATTGGCTTGCAATTTTCAGCTTTTATATCCATTACAGGATCAGAGCAGCAGGATCCCAGAGTGGGACTGAATGATCTGTTTGTTAGAGATATGTAAACCCTTGTTGCATCCTTACATACTCTACGTTACCATATGCCTTGCTAAAAATAAGTGCAAATTCTTCAGACAGACACTGCACCGGTATACAATGTACTGTATGTCAGAATAACAGAACTCCCGGAATGCTGTGATTGCTCCGAATGTAAGGTTATAATTCGTTCTGAATTTTGCCAGTCACGTAAAAATCAAGAAAAATTCAATAATAATAATATATATATTTGCAACAAGCAAAATGCCATAAAATTTGGTGAAGGAAGCAATTCTCAAACACTTCATGAGTAAATATTGTGGTAGGCCACTAAATTCAACAATACATCTATTATATAATATAAGAGTGTGTGCACGTTTTGTGCAGCTGAATGCTCATAGGGCACCAAGACATTAGCAGCAGATCTGTCAAGTCCTGCAAGTTGCGAGGTGGTGCATCCGTGGATTGTTGTTCCAGATCTCAGTCAGACTGAGATCTGGGGAACTCTTTGTCATGTTCCTCAAACCATTCCTAAACAGTTTGCAGTGTGGCAGGGACCATTCCTCTGCTCAAAGGAGACACTGCCCTCAGTGAACACATTATTTCCATGAAGGAGAGTTCATGGTCTACAATAATCTCTAGGTAGGTGGTACGTGTCAAAGCTACCTCCACATGAATGCCAGAACCCAAGGCTTCCCAACAGAAGATTGCCCAGAGCATAACACTGCCTCTGCAGGCCTTCCTTATTCCCATAGTGCATCCTGCTGCCAACTTATCCCCAGGTAAACAACACATACACACCCAGCCATCCACCTGATCTAAAAGAAAACATATTTCATCAGACCAGGCAACCTTCTTCTGGCCAGGGGCAGACTGACTATTCAGGCATTCGAGCATTGCCATTGTGCCTGGAAAAGGGAGGGGGCTGCCATTGTGACACTGGGCCCTCTGCGCAGGCCAGTCACCATGCTCATTTGTTTTAATGATGGCCGCCACGGCCTTTGTTAAGTGCCTGGCAATGTCACAAGTGTGCCGCCAGGACCTTCCACAGAGCACGGGGCAGTGCACCCTATGTGCTGAGAGGAAATGATTACACTTTACTTACTCCTTGCACATTGCCAGAGATCCGCGTGGGGGAGAAAGGAGGCCGGGTAAAATCAGTGAGGAGTGTCAAAGGCTCTACTGGGAATAGGGGAATGTGCCCCTAACTAAAGTAAGCAGGGAGGGGGAAAAACTTACATTTTTATTTCATTTATTGAAATTGTGGGGTCTGAAACAGATACGTGCATATATTTATTTGGTAAGGTAACCCAGATGCCTACCATATTCTACAATTTTATATCTGAACAATAAAATGTGTAAAATATATATAGTAGGACCTGCCAAAGATGTGGTGCATTGACGTTGTGTCAGGCTTATTCAATGTATGATCATATAATGTAACTAAACCCCCATTATTTTTGCCTAGATTAGGTGTTTAAAAATGTTTTTTTCAAAATCTGTCAACATTAAAGTTGCTGTTTAGTGGATAGGTGAGTGCGCTGGATCTTGTGTATTGTATAAACTGGCCCCCAGCAGCACCATGATAGTATTAGACTAATGACAGTTGCAGAAGAGGAATCAGTCAGGAGCTATTAACAGTTTAATGGATACGCTTTTATGAAGAAATGGGTTTTTAAAGATTTTTTGAAAGAGTGGAGACTGGGTGAGCATCTAACGGAGGAGGGAAGCGAGTTCCACAGGAACGGTGCAGCCCTCGAGAAATCTTGAAGGCGAGCATCAGAGGTGGGAGTACGGACAGAAGATAGACGTAAGTCTTCAGCAGATCGTAAGGGCCTAGACGGGACATACTTGTGTATAAGGGAGGATAGATAGGTGGGAGCAGCATTATGTAGCGATTTGAAAGCAAGAACCAGAATTTTAAATTGAGCTATATATTTTATAGGAAGCCAATGTAGGGACTGACAGAAGGGTGAGGCATGGGAGGTGCGGGCGGACAGGAAGATGAGCCTCGCCGCCGCATTCATTATGGACTGTAACGGCACTAGTTGGGAGCACGTAAGACCACTGAGAAGCGTATTACAGTAGTCAAGGCGAGATAGGACAGTGGAATGGACCAGCACCTTAGTTGCATCTGGCGTTAAGTAGGGGCAGATGCGCGCAATGTTTTTTAGATGGAAATGACAGGATTTGGCAATAGATTGAACATGAGGCTTGAAGGAGAGGTCGGAGTCAAAGAGAACACCTAGGCAGCGAGCCTGCATGGTGGAACTGATGGCAGCACAGTTGACTTGGAGGGAGACAGACACAGGAGTAACACATTTGAGGGAGGAAAGACCAGAATTTCAGTTTTGGTCAAGTTTAGTTTAAGGAAGTGAGCAGCCATCCAGTTAGAAACAGCAGAGAGGCAGTCAGAGACACTAGTCAAGAGGGACGGGGAGAGATCAGGAGAGGACAGGTTGATTTGCGTGTCATCTGCATTGAAATGATATTGGAATCCAAAGGAGCTAATGAGTTTACCAAGGGAGGTGGTATAGATGGAGAACAGTAGGGGACCAAGGACTGAACCTTGGGGGACACCAACAGAGAGGAGTTGGGGAGAAGAAGCAGAGTCAGAAAAAGAAACACTGAAAGAGCGCTGGGAGAGGTAGGAGGAGCACCAGGAGAGAGCAGTATCTTGTAGACCGATATTGCGGAGGATGAGAAGAAGCTGTTGATGATCAACAGTGTCAAAAGCCGCAGACAGGTCAAGGAGAATTAGGATAGAGTAGGGACCACGAGATTTTGCAGCGAGTAGATCATTGGATACTTTGGTCAGTGCCGTTTCCACAGAGTGCTTAGCACGGAAACCAGACTGAAGCAGGTCTAGCAGAGAGTTGGACTCGAGGAAGTCTGTCAATCTCGCATACACAATTTTTTCAAGGATCTTGGATGCAAAAGGCAGTAGCGAGATAGGACGATAGTTGGATGGGGAGTTAGGGTCAAGATTGGGCTTCTTTAGAATTGGGGTTACAGTTGCATGTTTGAAGGGCAATGGAAATATACCAGAGGAGAGAGAGAGATTGAAAATTTTAGTGAGAGGTGGAGAAAGAGAAGAAGAGAGAGTACGGATGAGATGCGATGGAATTGGATCTAGGGAGCAGGTGGTGAGGAGGGAGGACTGGAGCAGAGCAGAAACTTCTTCCAATGTATGAGCATGTATGAACATAGAACAGCAGAGGGAGTGAAGTTAGGGGAAGTATTGTAAGGGGAAGTATTATAAGTGGAAGAAGAAAGATGAGATATCTCTTCTCTGATTGTAGAGATCTTGTCAGTGAAGTGAATTGCAAAGTCTGAGGCGGTCAAGTTAGTAGGTGGAGGAGGAACAGCAGGGCGAAGAAGAGAGTTAAATGTGTGAAATAGTCGTTTGGGTTCGCGGGAGAGTGTGGTTATGAGGGTATTGAATAATTAACTTTTGCAGAGGAAAGAGCCAAGCTGTATGAGCTCAGCATAAATTTATAGTGGAGAAAGTCAGATGCACAGTGAGACTTTCTCCAACAGCGTTCAGCAGTTCTGGAGCATTTTTGGAGGTATCGAGTGAGCTTGGTGTGCCAGGGTTGTTGTTGGGGGGGCCTGCGGCGTTTAAATGTACAAGGGGCCATGATGTCTAGTTGATTGGAGAGGGTGGAATTGTAGAAGGAGGCAATAGTATCCATATTATGCATGTATATTACCTAATACATTTTATTAATAAATATGTGTTACATTGTATTCATGGCATTTTTATTTATTTGTTTTAATTGTGTTTTCTATTTAGCATGTTTAGGTGTCTGTGCCTTTGGCTTTTCTGTAGGATGTAAACTCAGCTCTCAACCTATTCCAAACATTCTCCCTTGTCCTATTCTTTCCTCCCTCTTAGCCTCCTATCCATACAAAACACATCTTTTTAATCATTGTGGCAGATCATGAAGTGTCAAGTTCATGCGAGTTCCTTGAACGAGGGTGGTAGTACTAGTCTGTTGTCCTTTAAGCTTTTATAATGACTCTCAGGGTGTAGAGTGTCTTCAAGACAATGAGCCTGCATTTATGTATTGACACACACTTAGCTAATAATTTCAGACATTAGCAATCAATGTATTTGTAATACAAACATATCCCCTTGTAGCAGACTCAGTGATAATTTTAGGATATCAGTAATAACCTGCAGCTTGAAATATCCATTTGTTAAATACACATCTCCCATAATGCCATGCTTTGTGTTGAATGATAGCTTAAAGCACGCTAAAGCACTTTAAAAATGGTTCTATTGAGTTGACATTAGATACCAGGCATACATTGCAAACAAGAGTGATGATAAAGAGTAATATATCTTTGTATGTGCTCAGTAGGCAGTCTACTTGTTATGAAGAAACATCGACTAAATAAAAAATACAAATCATAGGGTGAACTATTTAAACGTAGAAAATATTTTAATTCAATGTAACAAATATAAATATTCTTTATAACCTTAAAGTAAGAACTGGATGTGAGTAGGTATAAAAATGAAGCAATCAAACCCAAATTCAAAGGAGATACGGTGCATGACATTAAATGGCTTATTCACTAACTAAGAGGTCAACTTTCAGGAATTCAAAGTAAGTCCCAGGTTTTAGACAAAAATAGCCATGTTGGAAATATAGCTGCCTTTGTCAAGCTATTACAACACAGTTCATGTACCACTATGGTTTTATTTTTTTATTTTTTTGGTTTGTTTGTTTTACTAAATTGAGAATTTCATAAATCATCCAAAAAGTCTTGGTGAACTATATGGGTCAATGAATTTACCGATTGGATTAAGGGCCAACAAATTGTTTGTCAGTTTGGGAACCTTTTGTGCGCCTGTATTATTTTTATAGTATATATAATAATATATAATACAATGCTAAATAAGTGAAACGTTCAGCAAGTGAAATTGGTAAACGGAATGTTAAAAACCACATACAGCATGAGCCTTCTGCTACATAATGTACCATATGTGTGAATTTGAAACTAACAGAATTTATTACTATGAATTGTAGGGAATTCACCAGGGAGTTGAAGAGTTACTCCAACGCTTTGATTGTGTTTATTTTTTTACACGGAAAGACTTTTGCAACCGTTTTCTTTAGCCCAGCCTCCCTGAAACATGAGAAACTGTTAAAATTAGTTTAATTTAAAACATATCTGAAATCCAGTACGGGGCCAGGCTCTTCTGGATCTTTTTACGCCCCTTCATGCGTAGCGCTGCGTAAAATTTCTTGAGATCTAATCAAATGCTCCATGTACAAGAGCATTTACTGGTCTGGTTGGGCTGCAAGTGAAAATTAGAATATGTCTGTTGTTAGCATGCAGAGCGTGTTAACAACAAATGTATTTGTTGCACAAAATTTACATTTGGCTGTTAAAATCATGTGTTCTGGAGGTGCAACTAGCACCCGACACAAAACTGAAAATATCTCTGGATGTCGTAATCTGGGGGAAACAATACCATTTCTGAAACTGAGATTTCAGAAGCAGAATGCCTGGGGGGAGTTAAAATTGGCATAGGAGGCAACTTTGGTGTTAAACTGGTCAAGAACGGTTTAACCCCTGAAGGGAAACGTGCACCTAGAGGCCTCCTGGCACCATAAACAATTAATTTAGATTAAGTTGTTACTGTGCCTAACCTGTCTGTTTCAGATGGGGGCATGGGGGTGATGTTGCCACTAGGTTAAGGCCAACTCTGTAGTGCAAAAATAGCAATGGCCAGTTTGAGAGTTTGTGACATTCAGCACTCAGCGTGAAGACATTTGGACCCAGCTGGCAGAATGGGTCCAAGAAGCTCTGTTGATACAAAATTTGCAAAATGTTTCACTCAGTCAATAGACACATTAAAGCCATGTAAAGAATGATGGCATGAAACTTCTTGCAGCTCTTAAGGGTTAACATGAGTAAATAATAAATACGAATATCACAAAAGAAAATGTCTGTGTGCAAATCCAGCTAAAATCCTGACTTTACCAGTAAATTTAATGAGACAAAGCGGGTTAATCCTATAAACAAACAGCACAGTTACAATAGTAAACTTATTGTAGTTCACAGAGAGATCTCGGAACAGGTTGATCCGTTCCAAATAAGTTGATCTAAACCAAGTCCCCAATGCCGTCTCACTGGAGATTGCTGGGCAGATGCAAAGGACGTTTAAAGAATAGATAGAATTCAGAGGGATAGAATGGGGGGCACTCAGATAAAAAACTAAAGCAGATCAGGTGGCCCACGTAGAGCAGATCAGTGCTGACAGATGGTCCTCTGACTGCTGCTTGTCTGATAGCCATAGATATAATACAACTGACATATTAAATTGGGTACCGCAACGTAAAAAAAATGTAAAAAAGACATTTAGGGTACAACTGCTATCCCATAGTGTAGGTTTAGGGAAACTTTAAGTTGGAGTTATGGGGACACAAGATTTAAGTTGTGAACTGTAACTCCTATCACTATCAGACAAGTTTATAAATATAAACAGAGTCCCAGAACCATGAATTTTCTTGGCTCCATTTACTATCCCTATGTACAGAATTAATGGGGAACATTGGAAAGCTGCCTTGGGACCCGTGGGATCTTAGTCCTTCCTGGCCTTTTCCAACTGGAAGAAGCAATGTTAAGGAGAAACAAGCACGCCTCTCAACATTTCAAATGGACAATGAAGGAAGCTGTATTATTTTAGGGGCGTGAGTGGTAATATGGCTACGGGCAGGGCTGTTCTGCGGAATGTTAGGTGAATTCATCACTTATGTAATAATAACAATTTATGCTAAAGCAAAAAAAAAAAGCTTACCTTGTTTACACTACCTTCCTGTCAGTCGGACACTAGGGGAACTGGAACTTAGATGCTAGTTAGTACTCCAGACAATTGATCCCCTGGGCACCGTTTAGTAGATCTCCCTTTTTTCAAGTTATACTTTTTTGTTTGCATATCCCTTTTAATCCTCAGATTTATTAAAGGTAGGGCCTCCTTCCTCATTTCTTATACAGTGGAGCTCTCCTGATGTTGGTTTCCCCTTGTGGGACTCTACACATCACATACTCCTATTACCTAGTCAGTGTCTTGTTTTGTTTTTTTTGGCCCTACCGACTCTCTCTTTCCTCTGTTGAACGTTTCTAAACATTCCTTTTGGCTATACTCATAGAAGGCGTATCTAGATTCTAAATATCTTCCACCCCAGGTCCAGGAATAAACAAAAATTCTAAGTATCATAACCACAGTAGCTTGCTGTAGTGGTGTTGGTGCAAGGAGATCCATTGTCCCCTACCAGAGTAAGAAGTCAAGGCATTTAAGAATGTTTAACAAGTGACATGGGGTCCCTCAGGCTCCCATCGCCACCTCCTCAACAATCAGAAGCTCTGCCAATCAGCTAATCTTAATCGTACGGTCCAAGCTCATTGGCTGAGAGCACTCAACTGACAATGAGCCAGTGCTTAATTTACTGGAGCTAATGGAGGATCATTGCAAGAGCTTCTGCTCCAGTGGAGGTGGCGAAAGGTGCCTGCTGGACACCAGCTAAGTTGTCAAACCATTCTCAATCTATCTAACTACTTACTCTGGGAAGCTGCCATGGGATGCCTGACACCATAATAACAACAATGGGCTGTAGTGGTTATTGTGCTTGGAGTGTTCCTTAAGTAAATTCATTGTTAATGTGAAAGCCTTGGTCTTATAGGTCTTGAAAGAGTTAATGGAGCATTATACTATACATTTCGTTTTAAAAAATATTCTGATTAAAAAGCTAAGAGATAATGTAACTCAAATGCAATGGTTCTTAATATTTTTTATATTTTTTCAGTCAGGGATTTACCAACATTTGCTTGGTGCCCTATTCTGTAAGTACATTATCATTTGATTTTGAGTCTTGACCTAAGAGTTAAGAACAATTGCTGAAAGGGAAAGTGATAGAAAAATAATCACAAGGTTTTACAACGTTTTTACCATGTAAGCAGCAAGGGGAATGTAGTTCATGTACATTTACAGTGCCATGCTTATATGTCACTGTAACAGAGGACAGATATGGGTTTAAAGAGACGCTATAGTCGCCGAAACTAATATAACTTAATGTAGTTGTTCTGGTGTCTATGACAATGCTGCCTTTTCAGTTACAAAGCAGTGTTTACATTACTACCTAGGGACGTCATTCAGACAGCCACTAGAGGTGCTTACTGCATTGATTCAATGAGGAGATTCTGATTGGCACAGCACCACGTTTTGTTATGGGAAAGCATTGGACTGGCTGAGATCATCAATTTTGATTATCTCAGCCATGGAGGCGAAGCCAGCCACGGTGAGATCAGCACGGCATGGGAGACAAGGTGAGTCAAATCACCTTTTCAACGCGATGCAAGGGGGGCAGAAACCTAAATAATTAAACATTAGCGTTAAGAATACATGTTTGTTTAGTGTTTCTAAACACTGTCTGCAGAGCAGCAACTTCCCCTCATGATAAGTGGACAGACTCATTTTATCTTGTTTTCCCCAAACGGCACTAATGATGGATTTTTTTTCTCACTCTTCAAAGCAGCGAGGGTCCTGTGGTCAGTTTTTAGAGCATCCTCTCCCACACTCCTGCAGCTGTGTCTCACTTAGTAGTTTTGTCTATAGCCTAATGATTTTACCAATTATAATTGCATCTTTGTAGTTACTGAAAACATGGATCTAATCCTGCAAGGTCTTTACACCTCCCTCTTGGGACAACAATAAGTCACATAACTTGTGCCGTGGATTTCTCAAGTGATGCTCATTTTCCCATTACAGCGTGAGATCTGCAGTGGGAAAACGAATCAACTCCTTCATTGCCAGATTTTATTTGTTACATTTTGAGAATTAGAACTCAGAGGTAGCCGATAACTAGAATCTCTTTAGATAAATCAAGATAAAGTGCTAATCTCCTGTGTGTTGTTTTTTTTTAATGAGAATAAAAATAGTATGAGAATATTAATCATTTATTATCTTTAACTAAAACCTAGTTTGGGGTTTTCCAATTTTCTTTAACGAAAAGAAAAACATGCTTTAAAAAAATTATAATTTTACTTTATACGCTCATGTACTAACATATTTATGATATTTAAATTGCTGTCTTAGTCCAGTGAAGAAGATGAAAAATAATGAAGTATGGCAGTGTCATGAAAAGAAATTACAAGAAACTGCAATATTTCATTATTTTGTAGTTAACAAAGCACTAACTGGTATTTGATGTAAACGTCAAAACTGAGTTCCGTGATGTAATGTCCTCCACAGGGCAGCAGCATACCTAGGTAACCTCGCACCCGGGCCGAAAATATATATTTTTTTGCGTCTCACTTTTAGTAGGGAAATTACACGCACTCATATACATGCATTCATATACATTTACATTCATAGTCACACACACTTACAATTATATACACAGATACACACACTGATATGCACAGACTCACATACACACACACACATATATATTCATACACATTCATGCACACATTCGTACACACACACAATGTTTATTTCATATTTGTTAATAGTGAGTTGCACCCAGACTCCCTTTTCTGAACTTGAAAGGGAGCTGTAGGGACACCTTATCCCTGGGGGTTCAGGGTGGTTGCTAGAATATCTCTGCACTGATTGGCCAGTTACCTGCAGCTCTGTACTGATGCCAGGAGGTGATGTCACATCCCAAATCCCAGTATCAGTACAGGCCAAGTAAGAGATCCTGGTTGTTTCTTTGCCAACTGCTGATTTTGATCTAAGGGTAAATTTTGTAGCTTATGTCCCTCCTAAAACTGCCTATAACATGTCCTAGGTCTAACTCTAAACCCTAATTGGAGATGTTATTTCTCTCTCAGTATTACAGGAGACTTGGGCTAAAAATAAAAAATGGTGCCTAAATGAGACTTTGGGCTTTTCAGGACCCCGCTAGCTGCTCCAGCTCCTGTCAACCCCCACCACTGGTGGAACTGCCGCAGTCGCAGGGGTCGCAGCTGTGACCGGGACCGTCATTCCAGGGGTCCCAGCCGCCCCCCGTGACTGCGGTGCCTGCCGAGATTGTGGTGCGGCCCTGGCCGCGCGAAACAACTGCCGGAGCCGCATTGAAGAGGCCGTGCTCTTGGGGCCACCCAATGGCAATGAATTAGCCAGACAGTACTGGGGCGCTTTAAGAGCACGTCACTTCCTCCCAGCTATGAGAGCTGTGCGGTTAGAGAGCGCCGAGGAGGAGAGGAAGGAGTCAGAGTGGGAGCTCTGACTCCCATCAGCCTAAGACAGACACTGGACCCCAGGGAAGTCACCTTCCTGTAGGTAGGAAACAGGAAGGTGACTAAAGTTTTTACAGTTTGTGTGTGTGAATGTCCTTATCTGTGTGTCTGTATGTGTGTGTGAATGTCTGTATCTGTGTGTGTGTGTGTCTGTATCTCTGTGTATGTGTGTGTGTGTGTGTGTGAATGTATGTCTATGTGTATGTGTGTGTGAATGTGTGTGTATGTGTGAGAATGTGTGTGTATGTATGTGACTGTCTGTATCTGTGTGTGTCTGAAACATAGAAACATAGAATGTGTCGGCAGATAAGAACCATTTGGCCCATCTAGTCTGCCCAATTTTCTAAATAAAATGTCTGCATGTGTGTCTGTATGTGTATCTTTGTCTGTATCTGTCTGCATGTGGGTCTGTATGTGTATCTGTATGTCTGTATGTGTATTTGTTTGCATGTGTGTCAATGTGTGCGCAGGTACTGTACGTAAAACACAAATGTTCAATACATACACAGGTACTGTACGTAAGACATATATGTTCCATAGGTACGCAGGTACTTTACATAAGACACTGAAGGTCCTAATCCTGTTACATGTGTTGTAGCAGAGCAGCAGCATTAATCTAAACAGTGAAGAAGAAGAAGACAGTTATATGGGAACACTGTGAAGTTATGGAATATATTAAAGGTCATGCCAGGGAAGCAATCACGGCTATACCGAGGCTTCCATATGGGGCGCTAGACAGGGCTGCCATCAGAAATTCCTAATCTCTCCGAAAGTCAGCAAATGCAAAAATTCAGTTTTAAAAAAAAAGTTTACCCACTAAATATGCAGTTGGGAAAAACAAACAAGTGAATTTGAAAATTGGGCTAAATTGACTGAGCAGGAAAAGCAGTTGACTGGAGATGTTTTTCAATATGGCCACTTTGGCAAAAACTTTACTACCCCTCGGTTGAATCTTCACAATTGCCAGTTTAATGAAGAAATCCCAAAGTCCAATCCACAAAGTGAGAACAAGCACGATGGCTGAGCATGGGGCAGTCACAAAGCAGGCTACATTTTCAGGATGAGAGATTCACTTTGTGTATGAGGTTCAAGGAGCAATCTGTAGGGTTATAAATATATTGAGAATATGAGAATATCTCCCTAACGAGCCTTTTATGGGACTTCCTGCAAGGGTGACAGCCTGCGCCAACACAAACCACAATTACTGCCTGTGTTCTATCAAATTTCCCTACCCGTGAAAATCCTCTACCCTTGTCACTTCCGGTGAGGGGAATCAGCTGGATCCTGTGCTGCACAAGCGTGCTAGCACTCCTGCTACTCCTCCATAGCAAGGTCCTGGAAGGTTAGTAAAACTAGTTTTACACTTTCATTATAGTTAGTGAATTCACTAAGCTTAGGACATGGGACATTTATGGTTAATGTTAAGGTTTAAATTAAGGTTAGGATCAGGGCCTGGATTGGCCCACCGGGATACCGGGAAATTTCCCCGTGGTCCGCGGCACCTGGGGCTGGGCTGACAGCCCTATTCATCACTGGCCAGGCTCCTGTAATGCCTGCCGGCCCGAGCAGTGCGGCCACACAGGTTCCCATGGGAGCAGCTTGCACATAGCCGGCCGGGATTGAAAAAAAAATATATATATATTGCAGCGGGGGCGGAGCTTACTGGGAGGTGGGGGCAGAGCTAAGCGGCAGGAGGGGCGGAGCTAAGCGGCCCTGGTAATTGCAGCATGGGAAGCAGGAAGGAGTGCCTGCTTCCCCAACAAGCAATCTCCAGGAGCACCAAGCAGGAGGTGAGAAGCAGGTCAGTGTGTATGTGTTTGACTGCCTGTGAGTGTATGACT